AAAATATGTCATTAATTTAAAATTAAATAAATATATTAAAAATATGTGAACATATTAAATAATGTTAGTGGATTAAAATTATATAGATAGATTAAAAATATATTAAAGAATAAAATTATACCAGTAGGTTCAAATTAAATAAATAGATTGAAAATATATGCATAGATTAATTAATGCCAATAATTTAAAATTATATAACTAGATTTAAAACCCCAACATATATAAATAGATCAAGAAAACTTAAATAAATAATATATATATGTGTGCGTCAATATACTGTTTAAACAATTTTATAACAATAGACGAAAATGCATTCTTGGAAAGAAAAAAAAATAGAAATCAAGCAAATGAAACAATTAATAATAAGTTACGTTGGGCTCCTTTGATGACAGCTGATTAGAATAACAGTGACTTTGCTAGAGGTGGCGAGACAGCCGAGGTGGGGGGTTGCATATCGCTAGCTACAAAAAGAAACCCGCCCGGTATCGCAAGCACACCGAATTCTTTGCCTTCTCGTCCTCACTCGATTTTTGCTTTATTTCAGAAACCAGTCACCAGCATACGGCTCCATCCACATGCAAATTCTCAGCTTGATTAGATGAAAAACAAACAATCAAAAGTGACATCAACGTAGAGCCGATGTGTCCCTGTCAACGGCTCGATCCGAGCTCTATGAATCTAAATCTTATTTTACCAATATGTTTAGTAAAGGATATACATTTTTCTTCGTTGTTTGGTGTTACCTCAACTTCTACAAGAATATTCCCCAACTCCTTCAATATGAAATGTGCGTCATAATTGCTCAAGTTGTGCAAGTACAAACGAGGGATTTACACGTCTTAAATTACAATTATAACTGGATGGTCCTAAGTAAGTTTCTGTTAGCCTGCAGTTCTTTTACTTTAATATTGTTTTCATCTAATACATTTTGGCGCATATAGCATGTGTTAATTCATCCCAATCTTCCTCTCCATCTGATAAGATTATTTTTATATAAATTTCTTGAAATTTCTTTGCTATTTTTGTAATATATTCCATAAAGTGAGAAGCGAAGAAGTTATCAGAATGTCGACTTCTTCAATTCTTTTAACGAATATACAAAACGATATCGGATCGTGCCTCTGATATTTGGTTTTATTTATTGACAATTCGTTTATAGAAACTAATATGGATTCAAAGTAATCAAAGATAACAAACTGTACTTTACTCTGTCGCTCTGTACGGCATTTGAGAATCTGATAAAGGGATTTTTCGACGGTTCCTCTATTCTTATTTATTTATTTTTAAAGCAATATATTTTGTGTTATTTAAATAACACAACTAAGACATAATTTAATATAATTAATTAAAAATTGATAGCTGTAAACTAGACAAAATTTACTTCAAACGAAAGTGGAATTCGTCATTGATATACCCATTTTTTTTTTTTCTTAAAGACATTTACAACTGTATTAAATAAATACATCTAGTAAATTAGAATATAATGTATATAATGATATGAAAAATTCTTGCTGAGTAACTACCCAATGGTAGCACTCTACATTAGGAGATCACGGGGCCATCTTCTTTTCAGACGCCTCGGAGGGTTATCAGGAATTGAAGAGGAAGCAAGATTAGAAACGAGAGGGTTGGGACGATTCTGAAGTTTATTATGGAAGGATAGGTATCTGGATTGGGCCAGATCTGAAACAAAGGAACATTAAGGTCATTATGGATGGTTATATTTGTAACAAAGTAAGGAGCATTGAGGATTTTACGAAGGATTTTGGACTGTAAGGATTGGATACGAGAGGAATTCGATGGTTTAGTGGAGCCCCATAGCTCCACTCCGTAAGTCCAAATAGGCCTTATTATAGTCAAGTATATAAGTCTTAGATAGGGCCTAGGATACTACCTTGAGGAACACCAGCGGACTGGGAATAAACCCATTTAAAGAGGACTTTTGAGCAGATACTCCACTTCCACTAACAACACACTAGGTTTTGTTTTTAAAAAATCATGAATTATTTCCGATTTTTATTTTTCGCCTTACAACTACACTACAGACACTCCACTTTTAGAAAAACCTTCTTGCTTAATGAGCTTTAAGTCTATATTAATTAAGTTGTGGTTTATTACGAAATAAGTTGAAATCCAAATTAAGTTGTTTAAAAAAATTATGTGTTTTGATATCCTGTCACCGTAAAGTACCCATATTTTCAGCAAAAATTACCACGATAAAATATTGCAATGCTTTAATTTATTTTTACTTTACATAAGATGTATTATGTAATCTTTTTTTTTTTTTTTATTATTTACGAAATACAACTGTACATTTAAAATACATTCAGCAAATGTGATATAGATATATACATGACATAACAAGGCTTGTAGAGAATCTACCCATTGGTAGCACTCTAATAAAGTTTCTAAATTAGTAGATCACAAGGCCATCTTCTTTTCAGACGCCTAAGAGGGTTATCAGGGATCGAGGAGGAAACAAGGTTAGAAACGAGAGGATTACGATGGTTCTGAACTTTATTATGGAAGGATAGGTATCTGGATTGAGCCAAATCGGAAACATGTGGAACATTGAGGTCATTATGGATTATTTTATTTGTTACAAAGAAAGGAGCATTAAGGATTTTACAAAGGATTTTGGACTATAAAGATTGGATACGAGAGGAATTCGATGGTTTAGTAGAGCCCAAAGCTTAATTCCGTAAGTCCAAATAGGTCTTATTATGGTCATGTATATGAGTCTTTTGTAATTAATTGAAAGGTTAGAGCGTTTGTCTAGTTAGTGCTGAAGTAGTCGGAAACTTCGAGCGGTTTCTTGTCGTTTCAGTCTGGTATGAGGATTCCTAGATAGACGTTTGTACAGGTGTAGTCCTATGTATCGGATTTGTGCAACAGGGATAAGTGGGGTATTATTAAAGGATACTCTAGGATAGAAATTCATAGGTTTACTACGAAGGGTATAATAAAGAGGATAATGAATTGTTTCATTAGATTTATACTTGGAGTCTCCAGGCGGTCTTACGTCTCCAGTTGCTATGCCGAGTTGAAGTGAATCTATCCAGTTTTCCGACGGCAATATTTCCTAGGTGTATTCCTTTGTCGTAACTTTACAACCAAACAACCTTCTTACCTTCTTGATTTCTTTATTCCTTGTTTCTCTGTTCATTCGTTCAACGAGATCCCAATCCTCAAATTTGTTTATTCCATCCCATAGAACTGTTTTCTTTAAAAAATACTTCGTCATACGTGCTACCTCGTTTTGGAATTCCCTACCAACCTCAGTTAAACATAATTTATTTTTCCATCTCCTCAGTAATCAATCTTCCGAATATATGTAAAATAAAGTTATTTTGTACTTTAGAAATGTCAGTTACATTATACCGAAATCTTGCAGATATCTATGTATGTGTCACTTACTTATTTGTACAAATAGGTGAACTCACCCGCATGTAATCATATTTAAATTCATGTGTCTACTTCAAGATCATATGTTTACTAGATTGTGTTCTATTTATTTTAGTAATAAGCTAAGACAACTTTGTAAATTAATTTATTTTTAATTGTCATCTAATTATCCATAATTGCCAGACAATTGTCATTTCTCTGTTTACTATAGTTATTCTGAGAGGACTAAATGTTTCAGAATAAAATTAACTGTCTTTATTTCAAATATTTTCTTTACGCCAAATATTGGAGAAAATATTAAAGTACTACGTTGTTGTTCACTAGCTGTATATTTATCTCAAAAAGACTTTATTTTTAATATTATGAAAAATTTACATGTTTCTTTATTTTAATATTAAGGTTAGACAACTATGTAAATTAATTTATTTTTAATTATTCACAATCGCCAGACAATTGTCATTTCTAAGTTCATTGTACTTATTCTGAGGGGACTAAGTGTCCCAGAATAAAATTTACTTTCTTTCTTTCTTTCAAGTACTAAGTAATATATACATACAAGCAAAAACTAATTTCAATTTTTTTTCTAGCTAAGCAGAATGTCAATAAAAAGTTAGGAATGTTTAAAGAAAACTTATCACCTACCAGCTCAAAGCTAGTTGCTTTTTAAAATCTAAAAAAATCAACAAACTTACCAGGTTTCTAATTGAAAATCGAACGAAAATAATGCAAATTCCAATTTTATAAAAAATATGTGTAGTTTACCAAATCAAACACTCCAAAATGTGTCATTAAACAGTTATCTAATTTTTCGAGTTATATAAAAATGTTACGAATTTTCTCTTCCTCGTCCCACTATGCGGTTTTAATTGAACCGACAATGTTAACGCAGTCAACGCCTAACCACGCTCGGCTATCACGGCCAATTAATTCCAAAAAATATAATTAATTGAATTATTCTTCGAATGTAGTAAATAAATTTATATAATAAAACAAGCAAATTTGATCCTTAAATCCTTCTCTATTAAATTATTATTAAAAATAACTCATTACTGTCAAATAATAATTCAATTAATTAATTTTGTATCCCATTTTATTGAAAGATGTGTATCATACTCCTTAATGATAAATGAGCTTTTTTTTTAAATACTTTTCTCTAAGAATTAAAATTTCATATATTATATCTTACCTCGCATTTCCTCCCTATTAATATAGCATATATATAATAAGGATAAGTATATCTCCCACTTATAAGAAAATACTTTTAATGTAATAAACTTGTTTATTCAAAACGCTAACTATAAAATACAAAAATACACAATGACCTTTTTTCTCTCCATTACCACAAAAAGCTCAGAGATATTGGTGACCCATTTGTCAAATAATAAATTTTAAATTACACATAATGTAAAACAGTTCGTTTGCCTTTATGGAATTTTTTCTCAGTAATTATTTTCTGAAGTTCTCAATAAAGTAATAAAATTTATATATTACAGTATTACTCTGGGATAAAAATAACCAAAATATTATTGAAAAGCATGAGGTAATGAGTTAGAGGAGTAAAATATATCAAATTAAAATAAAGTACTGATACATACCATACCAATCTTCTGCTGGGCAATAATTAACTTTATAACCTTGCAAGTAGCCATTTCTGCCATCAAGAGGAGGAGGTTCCCACCAAACATCAAGAGACGTTTCTGAAGCAGTAGAACACCCAACATTTACTGGGGGCATAGTTGGAGCTAAAAATTGAAATAATAACTTACGTTCAGGCATTCACAGTTACTAGCTATCTATACTACTTTAATAAATATTATTTTTCGATATTAACATTAGCTCAAGGTGTCACTTTTATTTTCATCATATTTAAATACAAAATTATAAAAAGTAAAATATCATTGGAAACTATTTTAATTGTGTATTAATTAAGATTGCTTAAACATGTGCGAAAAAAGAAAAGCCGCTAAATTAAAAGCTCTAAATAATCCTAGCGAAGACAATCTGCAATACTTCCGAACCTCAAAGGTACGGACAAACGAAACGACAAAATTGCTCAAAAATAAAAAAAGGGAGTATCTTAAAAATAAAATAATTGAAATAGAAACTAATAGAATCGAAAATAACGTAAGAGACATGTACAAAGGTATAGGGCCCGTAACGTCTGGAATTATGGATGATAATAACAATATTCTGACCGATCCGGTTGACATATTGAATAAGTTTAAGGACCACTTTGAGAATATTTTAAATACGGGAAATTATGATATGTGTCCTCCTTCTGAGTACCAGAGTGCTGAACCTTTAATAAAAGGATCAATTAAAGAGGAAGTTGAAGTAGCTATCGGAAAATTAAAATCTTATAAAGCAGCGGGAACCGATAATATTCCTACTGAGCTAATTATGGCATGCGGGGAAGCTGGAGTTTCTAAAATACATCGGTTGGTTAAAAAGATCTGGGTGAACGAGAAATTACCTGAAGAATGGAAAGAATCTATTCTTATTCCGATTCACAAAAAGGGTCCGGATTGTAATAACTATCGAGGAATTTCACTCCTTCCGGTATGTTATAAAATATTCACTTTAATCTTAACCAGTCGAGTCACGGAATACGCCGAGGAAATTATCGAAGACTACCAATGCGGATTTAGACGGAATCGTTCGACTATTGATCAAATATTAGAGAAAAAATTGGAGTACAATGGTATTGTTCACCAGCTGTATATAGATTTTAAAAAGGCTAACGATTCTATTGACCGCCAGAAACTGTATCATATTCTAATCGAGCAGGGGATTCCAAAAAAACTAGTAAATCTAGTCAGGATGTGCTTGACGGAGACACTCAATAAAGTTAGAATCGGTAATAATCTGTCGGAAAAATTTGAGGTTCGTTCGGGTTTAAAACAGGGGGATTCCCTTTCGCCTGTCCTGTTCAATTTGGCATTAGAACATGCCATTAGGGAGGTAATGCGTGCCGAGAAAGGGTTGGATGTGGGCGGGACAACATCCGTGCTAGGCTATGCTGACGATCTGGTACTGTTAAGCGAAGGCGTTGAAACTATAAAACTAAATACGGCAACGTTAATGAAAGCCGGTAAAGAACTAGGACTCGAAATAAACGTGGATAAAACAAAATATATGGTTAGCTGCAAAAATGGCGATACTACTGGTGATATCGATATAGATGGTAATATGTTTACCAGAAATGGATAGGTAAGCTGAAAAAAATAAATAAAAAGAGTCGAAGGAGGGGAATATACTACTATATATATGAGAGGATGTGATTTGCAAGAAATTTCAACGAAGTGGAATTTAAGTGTGGATAATCGGAGGAGTGAGACATCCAGGATGCGAGATTTCCTGCTAGTATGGACATAGAAACCAACATCTCCGCCATTCCGGGAAATCCGGTCACGGCAGATGAAGGTGAGAAAACGGGGTTAAGCCATGTTTCGGAGACAGTAATAATGTGTTAGAAATTACGGTTGAAATACAACATGGAGTGGGGTGATAAAGAAAACCAAATAGCTGTGATCGCCTTACACTAAGTTGAAAAATGTAGGTTAGAGATTTTCAACATTTTGAAACCTTTAGTTATCAGCCGTATGCTCGTGTACTGCACTATAAATAGATATAATGAGAATCTATATGTATGTGACATACCTCGAAGAGGCCTTCCCCGCACTTCACCCAGATCACGGTAAATCCAGTGAGAGCCATGAGATGCTCGAATCATAAGAAATCCCATTCGAATACAAAAAATCATGTCTCGGGAAATGGAAATCTCTATCAGATCAATATCTTGCGTGCGAGGTCAAATGAGGTCAAAGTAAGAAGAAAAGAAGTCATTAAAAGAAGGTGAAATGATATGAAGAATGCCACGCAAGGCTGTTGCCATGTTGCTGAGATGAGTACAGATTAACACGAATGGAACTTTGAGGTTAGATCGAAAAATCCTTGGGGGATAAGAATGGTGTTTGCCTTTCAAGGATTTGCCACTTCAATTGGACCTACATCCAAGCGCTGAACACTCGTGCGTTAACGGTTCCTATAACAATATAAGTCTGTACGAGTCTATGAAAATCTCTCGTGGAATACTAAGTTGATGAGCTCGAAACATTGATAAACAAATGATAATTTGAGTTTTAGAGTTATTTAAACAAAAGTTGATAGAATCAGTGAAAGGTGAATTGAGACTTTCAATATTTGACTGACTTAAAATTAAAATAAAACAGCGTAATAAATATATTTTTTAGAATTTGTAAACATTTGAGTTCTACCAATGGGTAGTTTCTCTTCATGTTGTACATGCCATGTTACAAATTTCTCATTTACTTATTGTATTCTCTATGTAATACAGTTGTAAATTCCATTGAAATAAAAAAAAAAAAAAAAAAAAAAAAAAAAGAATTTGTAAACAAAATTTAAAAACAGCCAACAAGGCAACATAGTTCACCTATTGCTATTTAATGAATTATGGAATCTGAATTATGACTTACGCCATTCATGGTTTAAAACTTTCATATACTAAAGAGTATGTCTATCATTAAAGTATTAAAGATATAATTAACCTCCTTCTTTAGTTGTTGCAGTAAAGAATTGTGAATTAGGGCCGGCTCCTCGGCTGTTAAATGCCTGGACGGATATAAGATATGTTGTAAACATCGATAAGTTATCAAGTATAGTTTGCCCTCCGTATTGTGATCCAGGTTCCACAGTTTTGATGTTTGAATGCTGAGATGGGACGGTAACAGACATTTCAGTTAGTGATTCAGTGTAACCAACATAATAACCTAGTAAATTTCCATTCCAAGTTTCTCTAGGAGGTGCTTCCCAACTAACATATATTTCAGTTGAGCTTCTAGCTTCTAGATGGATCTTTCTAGGTGCTCCATTTGGTTCTAGAAAAAATAAATGGTTAAATAATAAAAATAAAAATAACGAAATGTTTCTACTCTTTCCAACATTGCGGCTCTGGCAAGCTTGATTTGGTTTCCATGCAAATACTATAGGTTGACTTACTTATCTCATTTGCATATAATAGAGGTTTACAGTTGGTGTATAATAGAGTTTAGTGTTTTAAACGTTTGCTAAATCTCTTTCAGATATGAGATGAGCAATCTGAATAATACGACAAAAATATTTGGATTGATTCCTGTAAACAATAGGAAAAATATGTGTGTGGTATTCGAAATGCATATGCGTGGCGACTTGTTTAAAGGATAATATTGTAATACTATATCATCTATAGTATTAATAATGTCATTTCCCGTTGCTGGAAGAAGCTTACTTCCGTGCTACAAACATTCAAATATATTTCGAGAGACAAACTTCCTGTTAATAGCACTTGTTATTTAAGAAAGTTCTAAATTTGGAAAAATGAAAAAACGCTAAATATTACTGTAAAAGGAAAACATTACGTAGAAATATATGTGTATATTTTCCTATGAATAAGCATTGCCTATGCATTGGCGAAACGTTGGCAAGTTAACTATCAACTGGTATCACTAGCGGATCCAGGATTTAATTTTAGGGAGGGGGGGCTTCAGCCCGAAACCTTTTTTTTTCATAAAAATAACGATAATTACTTTGGAAAAATAGAAAGAAAATAACTACCTATATGAAATGGTGTTTAAGTTATTCCTTAAGTACTTTTAAATGTAACTACACGAACAATAATACTTTAAGAGGTATTTTTAAATTTTTTTTCCTCATAAAACATGGTAATATTTTTCCATTTTGGGGGGGAGGGGCTTCAGCCCGAAAGACCCACCCCCCACTCCCCCGTAGATCCGCCCGTGACTGGTATGTCGGAGACTTATGGTTTTGTAGTTTGGAGTTTTCCATTCATACCATAATCACAATATGTCTCTTTTCTAGCATTATGCCTTTTTTTGTAATGTTGCCTATAAAGGTGTTTAAACAGTTTATATTTAAACAGTTAATTAACTGTGGATGTTTTTCACTTTATATAATCCAGACGAAACATATAATCCAGAGCCGAATATTACTTCAGTTTGCTAACCGAAACTTCCAGTAAGGCTTATGTAAATTCACAAAAAAAGGTCATGAATAATAGATTTAATATACAACCTAGAGAACCCCAGGTTCAGAAGCATAAGTGTCAACAATTTTTTTTTTTGGGGGGGGGAGAAGAGAGAGGAAGGGGTTAACAAATTGAATGAAAAAAAAATACTTGGTTTAATTTGCCAGAAAAAGAAAATAGTTCAGTCAGAACCATTGTCAGTGTGTTAAATATTAATTTAATAAAGAAAAAAAGAAACAACAGCTTTTTTTATTGTAAAACAACCTCCTCGAAACTTGTGTTAATAAAGATGAAATACGACGATGGGAAGTAGGCAGAACCGCAACATTAGAAAAAGTACTTTTTTTCTTAAAATCTATTAAATTAATATATAATATATTCATTTTAAAAAATATTATACAAGACCTTGTGAATATAAAAAGAAACGTATAAACTCTGTCTTACCTTATGCTATAACGTTGCACATTGATTTTTAAAAACCAATCAGTTGAGTTTAAATTTTAAGTTAGCTTAACTGTGTAAGAGAGTGCTCCAAGGACCGCTCTTACTCCCAGCGTACTTGTAGAAGAAGAAGAATAAAAATAAATTTTATTCTGGACAGAGTTCTGTGAGTTATAAATGTTCTGGGCTCTTCAACCACCTGGGTCATTTTCGTCCTGTATTACAATATGGGCACTTGATTTAAATGCCTACATATTATGTGGGTGATATTACCACCAAGTTATGTCAACTAAGAGGTCCCATTCAGTTGGCTCTACCCTTCATAATTCACCGCCTAAACAAAAAACACGTCGCAGTAAGCGATCAACACCCCTCGGAACTCCTCCAGCGAACACTCAAGAATCTGTAACTCAACCACAGCCAAGAACAACTTCACAAGAATGGCCTCTGAATTTTCCTTTTTTACGCCCAACCTATACCAGATGCTTCAAAATGCAGGGAAGAGATGGAAGATGCATTCACACCCACAGAACCACGCCACATCTCCTATCTTTGTAAAAAAAATTTCCAGTTGTTTTGTATTGAACTTAATAAAATCTGCGCAGATAATAATGTCAGATTTATGCGCTAACAGAACTAATGACACAAAAATAATATTAGCCACACATGAAACATACCGAAAACTGATATAAATACGGATTTTCACACATTCCAGTTAAGGCAGGAAACAACATTACGAAGTGGTGATAAGAAATTTACACTCTTCAAACCCAAATAAAGTGATCTAAGAAGAGTTAACGGCGTTACGGTTAGATAACCAATGTTTTAAAATAAAATAAAGAACACCCAGGGGTAAAAAATAAAATCTCATTGCCCTTATTTTTCATTAATCTAGAGCCAGGGGTTGAAAAAATATATGATATTAATAGAATTTTCTAAACAAGCGTAAAGGTCGAAAAACCGTACCCAAAAAGAGAGTTCGTCCAGTGTCATAATTGCCAGGCATATGGCTACACCAAGTTTAATTGCCACCACCTACCACGCTGTGTGAAATGCCATAAAACACACAAGTCTGGCGAGTATAAAAAACCAATAAAAGAACCAGCAGTCTATGCCTGAAATACCATCCGGCTAACTATAAACGTTGCCAAATATATAAAAATCTTAAATCGAGATATATGAAATCCAGGAACACCGTTGATACACCTAAACCAAGAAGAGGACCCGCTAAAATTATGAACTCATCGTTCTTTTGAGAACTTCCTTGGAGGTAGACTAATGAATGTAAGGCCCTGCCACAAGAACAAACTCAACCCCAATCTCAAAATCCTATCCCATCTAATGGACCTAATCCACAACAACCTCACCAATATCAAATCAAACATATTCTTCCACCTCCTAATGCTACAGATCTAACCAGTTTATTGGTATTTTTCCTTTCAGAATTTAAATCCCTTGTTAAACCTTTGATATCACTCATTAACAAACCTAGTATCTCACCTTATCCCTAATTTTAAAAAATCCTTAAATGACTCCCATCAAACCCATATTCATTCTCCTTTAGATCCTCTAGATTCTCCTTTAAATGCGAATGGTGTTAGAAATCACATAGATGAACTAATGTCCTTACTACTAGACAAGGTAGAAATAGATATCAGCCCACATAACCCTCATCATTTCATCTTGGGTGCAGACCTAAACGCCAAACATCAAAAATGGGGCTCAAGAACCTTCCAGGTTCTTCATGGGACTTCCAGTCCCATAATAAAATTATTTTAAGAATTTTTTTTTTCGTATCTTATTTTTCATTACAGCACAACTTGGAAAATAAATTATTTACCAACCAACCATTCTCTATAATGTAACTTTTGAAATTGAGCAACTTATTTATTGATAAATATTATAATTTGTCTCAATTGATGATAATTCTCAATTGAGAAATATTACAATCTGTCACACTCTAGGACATTGTCAATAGTGACAGAGTAGCTCATTCACACTTTACGTACAATAAATAAAAATAAATTAAACAACAAAAAAATAATACTAAAAGTAAATACATATAAACAAAAAGAAAAGAAAATAATCTAAAAACAACTAAAATATAAATACACACATACTTCTACAATATTTACAAAATTCATTCACTCAGCATAACTCCGAGCCCAGCCTTTCTCCCCACTTGTGGAAGAAACACAACTTAGAAGATCCCAGTGCTACTCACTCTGCCGTATTACTGGTATCAAGAGTCAGTGGAGGGAGAGGAAAGTAAATGTAACCCCAGTTGCTCACGTCTTGAGTGGAGAATCTGGCCATTGCCAGAACTGCGATATATGCCTGAAAGGTCGGTAGGAGGCGTTGGATATTAGAAAAATAGAAAAAAATCAAAACCCTGCAACTTTGATCGTTGATCGTTTGGAATTTTGGGATATCTTAAACGGTTTCCTTGATATTTTCATTGGGGCCCGCATACACCATGTACGTCTATACGTGTATATATAAATATAATAGGATAAATATTGGCAGCCAAACCTTCTTCTTGAGTTGTCACTTGTATTATTTCACTAGGATCACTAAATCCAAGTTTGTTTTCAGCCAGAATCCTAAAGTGATATGATGTCGCAGGGTGTAAATTAGCAATAGTTGCAACAGTTTGAGTTCCTGGTACTACCACCTTTGAAGGTTGTACATCCCATGGTTCTGAAAGAAAAAAAAACAATTGTTTTATAATTAATTATAAAATAAAATACATTAGTCAATAATATGAAGAGAGAACGGTAAATAATACATTTTTATGTATTAGGAAGCTGAATGGAATTAAAGTGTACTGGTGGACAGGAATTGCTTTGGATCTTAAAGGTTATATGTTTACATTTTCATGTTCAGAAACATGTACGGAGTTACAACAGGCATACAATTTTCTGATTTCATAAAGGGAATTATTATGCAAAGTAATACAATGTATTTTTGCTATAAAACTGCGTCACATTAAGTAATTGATGGACAAGAAGGCTGTTGGTTAATAGATATAATATATAACATATTAATATATTCATAAATTAAGTAAGGAAATGGATTATAAGACTTTTGTCACTGCCACTGTCACTGGACCGGTAATTTGTAGCTGGAGCATAGACAGGTTTTTCCTGGACTATCACATATGTTTAAGTACTGGCACCTAACTAGGAATAATCCACTACCTAGTAGGTAAGTGTGAAGGTCGGAGGAGGATATCAACAAATGTACTTTTAAGATAACAAACTTAGGGACAACAAAGTCAGAGTGTTCTGGTAACATTATTTCTTGTGGATTACAATTCTATAGATAAATACAGTATTCATGTTAACATATTTATCATATGTATTAAAAAATGCAAAAGATCATTAATACATTTTGAAAACATTACAAAAATCTATACTACCGTGAATTTGTAAAAGCCTGGAATAGTACTCAAGTTGATATTACCTGAAATTGGCTTATACTGGATGGCGTATGAAGTGATTGGAGTGTTCCCTACGTATGGCTGTGTCCAAGATAATTGTAAAGTTCGACTTTGTTGATCGATAACTCTAACATTCTTAGGTATTTCTGGAGTTTCTGTAAATAAAAATTAAAAATGGAATATAATAAATAAAACTTGAAAAATAAAATAACAAATCAAGGGTTTTAGAATATAAATAAATATTACATCTGGCCTAAATAAAAACAAACACAAAAAATAAAAATAATGAGAAATAAGTAAATAAAACATGAGTTATACATACTATATACAAAACACTTAAAACAATGACAAGGGATTTGAAAATATGTACATTGGTAAATATAAATGTACACTTTTAGAAAAAATACATAAAATTCTTCTTAAATATAAACTCTGTGTTTCTGTAAAAAAAAAAAAAAAAAGAAAGCCGAATCTGATAGTAAAAATTGTTTGAGTATTTAAATGACGAATTATCTATTAACACATCATTATGTAAATTATTAAGAATATTATGTAATTACATCATAAAATGTTATAGGGTATCTGACTGTTAATGGGGCAGGATTTGGAATAGGAGGGTTTTAAATGTATATATGGAGGGGGGATGCCAAATTTTGATAGGAGGGGAATTCCAGAAATTAACAGAGCCAGCAATAAAGGAGTTTTGGAATGAGGCAGATGTGTGAGGAGGTTCGGAGTGTCGAGATCTTGTGGAAAGAGAATCGACTGAGAACTTAAATTAGAGAAAGATGTAGGAGTAAGAAGGACGATGATTGTTGATTATTTGATAAAGGAATGTACCAAGGAAATATTGTCTTCGAAAGGAAGGGAAGATCCACCTTAACTCATTTTAGTGATGAGAGACATGGGAGTACGTCGGGGCACCAATAACAAATCTTACGCAGCTGCTCATTAATCTTTTCAGTCGATCATGGAGCTCCACCGAGAGGCCATCATACACCACCCAGCTGTAGTCAAAGTGGAGGAAGATCGTACGGCCATGTGAGACGAGGAGAGAGGCAAAGGGTAGAAGAAGGAGAGGACTGTCGGAAGAGGATGTGATAAAGAGACTTGCTGAAGCAAGAGTTTGTTTGAGGAAAACTTCATGTTGAAGAAATTCCTAAGGCAAAAAAAAATAAATAAAAGTTCAGTAAAACCATTACTTGAAAAGTTGCTAAAGAAGACGTTCTAATTCCAAAAGAACTGGAAAACTATCGAAAGCAAACATTCCGGTGATACCGAAACTACTGAAGCTATCTTTTCTGTGTTCTAGTCATTTTTACTGTATTCACATTCAGTAGCCTCAAGGTACAACAAATATTTTATACTTCTTATCATATAATTTAATTACAATGTTCATGTTACAATTTCATGCGTAATATGCATTTATACGATTTCATTGTGACATTTTACCTTGTACAATTAGATGTATCGACATTTCATCATTTCCATAAGCATTATTAGCAATACAATTAAGTACACCAGTATCGTGACGAAATACATGAGATATTCCAAGTTCTGAAACCATCCCTTCATCCAAGAGCTGCTCCCTGACCGAATACCTAAAGAAATTACAGAAAGTATTGTAAGAATCTTAAATAGATGTTTCTTTTTTTTTTTTTTTTTTTAAGCTTATTTATTGAAAAATATTACAATCTGTCTCAAGGACAAAATAGATGTTTAACTGCAACAATAAACATTCGATTAATGTCAGCATTTTCCATTTTAATAATATAGGTACTGGCTTTTTGTATCAGTGGTGTGGTTGAGAGAGTAGCACAAAGATCTTCTAGAGTCCTGCTTTTCCGTCCGCAGATAAAGAAGGTACAAGCCTTTGAAGTTTTAGGTTCGAAGTTACTTTGGCTGGTTGTAAATAGTGCATATGCATATAGGTATGTCTGTATTATTTTACGTTAAGTTATTTTATTTTATATGGTTTTTGACTATTATGTAGGTATTATTATATTTTCACTATAACTAGTGTCCTTATTGCGACAAAATGTTATGAATGAATGAATTAAGTTTATTTTCATATTCATAAAGAAAAACAAAATTAAATGAATAAATTTACAAAAAACAAAAGCTTGGTGTGACACATCAGTTTCAGTGACTTACATTAATTCACGATTTTCTTTTGGAAGTTCAGCTTGAGCTGGTGACAGAGACACATCGGCTCCTAGCGATTTCGCTGTTAATTGGGGTTTCTTCACCCAATTAGGCTGGCAATTTAGACGTGAGCGAAGTTGTACGCTGGATACCTGCTACTTAAATTTTGAGAAAATCAACCAGGACCTGAAGGCGAAGAAATCAGTGGACCAAGTCCCCCTACTGTGCACCTCTCCCCCTACATTTTTATAAATTGCATATCGTTTTGTTACTTGTAACTATTTATTAGAAAAAAGCCAATGTTCCCACAAAAAAAAGTGAACGAACTGCCCAAAATGGCGTCCAAACATGGCGGACTAACGACTTTGACTTTAGTTAGTTTTTTGGTAATTGGAAATCACCATTTGGCTTAATTTCGTCATAGTTGGTGTCAACTTATTAAAGATGGATAGTCAGAGAATAAGAAAATATTCAAAAATAATTGGCTTAGGCAGTGAAAACCATCAGTAAAACCAATTTTTTCAACAAATAATTTTTCAAGTTAAAAATCAAGTGCTGAAATAACACATCTGGGGAATATATTTCTCTTTCTAAAACACCGATTACTTTCCAAAATGTTTGAAGCAGTTCCGTAGAATATGCATCGGCAGAAAAGTGGTACTAGCGTAGGTGCCTACAGGCCTCTACCACACCATTCAGTACTCATAAATGGTTTATTTATAGTGATATAATAACATTTTTGTACATTATATTGATTTTATTAACGAAAAAATATTAATGTAATATTTTAATTGTCAAAAAAAATTAAACATTTTTTTTTAATTTATTATTTTTTTTTTTAATTTAATTTATTTTATTCAATGGAAGGCCTCTAATGAACTAAAGTAAAAAATACTTTGCTGAATATCTTGAATTTTTTATTCAACATTTGCAATTTAACACTTTAGCATTCTTAGAGGTAATTTAAATTGTATATACTTCCCCGGAAATGAGTCATATTAATACCTGTTTTATGACCTAAAATAATATATACCTAATCTAAACTACGTATAATGAATAGTTGATGGGTTATTTAGTAAAACTCATATATCATAAATAAATAAATAAATTTTTATTTCCTTTATTTCTTTCGGAAGTTGGACCATATCTTAAAAAAATAAGAACATTTAATATTGAATGCATTATTCTCTCTTCACGAAGAAAGATGGAAAGGTCAAAGCTATAAGTTCTTCTAGGTAACCGGAACTGATTGTTAGTATTTGATCTCAAAATGAGGGAAAACACGAAATTGAATCTAAAAATTGGAAAAATACATTAAGCGTACGAGAAAAGAAGTGCCAAAATCTGGGAAAAGAAAACAAGGCTCAGTATACATGGCTAAACGAATATATAGTTGACAAATGAATAGAATATTTCAAGATACTGCTAAAAGGGAGTTTGGCTAAAATGCTGGAGCAATTTGGATAGTATTAAGGAGACGATGCAGGTTTATTATAGTGAAGAGTATTTTATCAGCAAAGAAAGATTTGTTCGAAGCAATTGTAAATTCATAAGGTCTGGACGAAGAAAATGAGGTATATCATGGTGAAAACCACTTTATTTTCAATCGCTTCTGAAGTTGCACGTTGGGACTATCTTCACTTTGAAGCAGGTTATAGAGAGGCCTGTCGAGAAAGGGAAATAGCTCTCCTTCTGTTTAGTGCATTTAAAAAAGATTTTTGAAGGAATCTGAAAGGAAAACGAGCTTTTCTGAAAGAATAGTAGATATTAGCACAATCCAAAGTGTGAGGCACTAAACTGATAGAGAGCTATTTTTCCTTCTTGATGGACTTCATTATAACCTGCCCATAAAGTGAAGACCCAATTTGCAACTTCTTTTCCAATGTGCAACTTCAGTCTCCCAATCCTTATCGCTATGGCAATCGACAATATTTCTTATTCTAGCTTCTACGATTCTTGAGTAGAATTTCTTTGGTACAATAAACAGGAATGAATCTCGATGGATATTACATTTCCTATGATCGCCTTTCTTGTAAAGGGACAAAACTACAGTACTTTCATGTCATCTTCTAATACATTTATTGCCTATGTACCCGCAAAGCAGTGCGAAGCATTTCGATTTACTTCGTCTTGACCATAACTGACTAGCCAATTGATCCGAACAAATCTTTCTTCCTGATAAAATGGTCTTCACCATAATAAACCTGCATCGTCCCCTTAATACCATCCAAACTGCTCCAGCATTTGACCCACTTTTAGCAGCATCATGAAATATTCGGTTCATCTATCTACTATATATTCGTTTAGCCATAATGGATACTGAACCTCGTTTTATTTTCCGAGATTTTAGCACTTCCTTCCTCGTCTGATTCATGTATTTTCCAATTTTTGGGATCAATTTCGCATTTTCCCTCATTTTCAGACCAAATACTAACAATCACTTCCGGTTATCTTTCTTTGTGAAGAGAGAATAATGCATTCAATATTAAAACTTCCTATTTTTTTTTATGATAAGGATAAGTTTTTAATGTGTTGGTTGAATTTTAACATCAATGTACGGGTTGGGTCTCGGGGGGAGGGTGCGTTTGGTCTGAAAGTAGTTGATGCATTTTATGTGAGTAATCAGTCTTGTCCATAATAACGGTCGAACTTCCATTGTCAGCCTTAATAATAATGAGATCGTTTGTTTTGAGGAAAGAGCGAGTTGAGGATAAATTTTTAAAGAACAGGGTTAAAGGGGACGAGCGGGATCTCAAAAATATACTCCTTTCCATTAATTTCTCTCTCAACACCATACTTAAACTTTTAAACTGCTATACAACCAAAAAGAGTACAACCTCCCTTTCTCTCGACTCTCCACAATCACCTACCACTCCTTTCATATACAAATCTCTCAAATATATTCCTATTCTCTCAGATAATATACGAAAATTCCTTAAATCGACTATAACCAACTTACGTCTTGGCCTTAAGTCGCATAACAAACTTTTTTTCTTTTTCACCAACATGACGGATCCCATACTTTTACAACACTGATCTGATGTAGTTTACCGGATACCTTGTTCTACTCCTAATTGAAATAGCTCCTATATTGGCGAAAGCAAAACCCGCATTTCCCAACATAAAACATCCATAACTTCCCGCAACCCTTCCGCCTCCAAACTGTCAGAACATGCCTTAACCTTCAACCATTCATTTGATTTTGGAAAAACCTCAATTCTTGCCACGGTCCCTAACTATGAAAAAAGACTCATTTCCGAATCCATCCACATTCACATTGAACAGAATCCTGTCAATAAAAACTGCATTTCTTTAACATATAGGCACATTTAAAATCTTATAAGTGAAAAAATAACTTATATATAACATCGTATTATTTTTATTTACTTTCAATTTTTATTGATTAATTCAATTTAATTGTTCATTATTCTAAGTATTTCCGCTTTGTAAGAGATCTCTTTTATGTTATTTTAATTTTATATTTTCTTCTGTGAGTTCTCGCACTCCTACTTACTAAGAGGACTTGATCCTCTGACCTGCGAGAGCTGCAATCTCCAAAGGACAGTTAAGCACATTATTCAAGACTGTCCTACATTTGAACCTTCAAGGAAAAAGTTAGACATGGCACAGAGTCTAAAAGAAAACCTACAAGACAGCGAAAGTGCAGTTAAAAAAACTTTAATGTTTTTAAAAATGATAAAACTCTACAACTGAGTGTAATTCAAAGGTGTTGCCAATCACCCTACAGGATAGAGGCAACAAAACATCAAATAAATAAATAAATTTTATAGTTACAGTCAACATCAATGTATGATCATCCGTTTCACTTTGTATTTATTTTACTTTTTAACAATGTCTTAATATTATCTAATATTTAAATGTAATTTTCTTACATATTTACAACCAAATATAATTATAATTATTCATATTTTTTCCCTCTCTATACTTCTAAATTAGTTCTGCAATTTATGATCTCTTGTTTCTATATTTATATTTATATGTACGTTTTACTTCTTCCATTTTTGTTTTTATTCACATTGTACCCTTATCTATAATCTCTTAATTCTATTTTATATGTATATGTATAAATTTATAATTTATTATTTTATAGGTATAGTATTTTTCCCTTGCATCCATTCATATCTTCAAATTTAAGATACCGTAATTTTCTAGATTTTTTTCCATTACCCAAACAGGTCAGCGAATTCCCCAATACCTACCCTTACCCTGATATTCCAGTTGTAAGTGAAACTTCTAGCTGAACACACCTGTAAGTATCTATTTTTATTCTTCTAATTTTACTTAATTACTTTTTTTTCTTTTATTTCTCCACATTTCTTTATGTCTATTATTTCATATTAGATCTGTTTTCCTTTTCTTTCAATCTCTTCTGTAGATCTGTAGAACTATATTCACATTTGCATATATTATATCCAACCAAATCCACTTATTTCCACGAAGCCCTTTCATCAGCTCCTGATTCAAAAACCAAATGACTACTCCTTCGTAAACTCTTCCTCTGTGAATCTTCCAGATCACCTTCCTCAGCAGTCTTCCCAGTCTCACCTGATGATTTAAATTCAAATTTTATATCAGCTTCCTCTTTCATTACTCCTGGAATATCATTTAGCGACGACAACTTTTATTTTTCAGATATTTCTCTCACAGACCACATATCCGCCGTGATGAAATGTCCTTCCAATTCTTCTTCAAATTAATCAAATTGTGCCTACCTGAAGTGAAATCCTTCCCGTTTTCCTTTTCATCAATAATTTCTCCCTTCAGAACTCAGTATTTCCGTCTTCATGGAAACAAGCCATTGTCCGTCCTTTACTTAAAAACCCTAACCTTTCTTCCCCGGCAGATTACCGTCCAATCTCAATCCTTTCTAACCTTGCAAAACCTCTGGAACGAATAGTTCAATCCCAAGTTTCGAACTTCCTCGAACAGACCAACCAACTGGATCCTTACCAGTCTGGTTCTCAACCAGGTTAGTCCACGCAGCCCGCCCTAATCAAAATCATTAGTGATATTCAGTCCGCCATAGATGACAAAAAACTAACTTTCCTTGTACTCCTTTTCCAAAGCCTTTGATACCATTAATCATTCCATCCTTTTCTCCAAATTAAAATCGTTATCATTTTCCAACAGCTCTATCCTTTGGTTTCAATTTTTCCTCTCTCAACGTACCCAAGCAGTCTCTTTTCTTAACCAACTAAGCATATCTCCTCTCCTTTTTAGTTCATATATTAACGATCTTCATAAATCAATCCTTCACTGTACCTTTATGCCGATGATTCCCAAATTTACCTCTCCTTCGCTCCCTCTGAGTGGCATGATGTGTTTGCTAAAATACAAGAAGACCTAAATTGAATCTGTGCCTGGGCAAATGAAAACAGATTAAGGTTAAACGCTGCTAAAACCCAAGCCATTGTCATTGGTTCCAAACCCCTTCTCAGATCCAATACCAACATTCCCCTCCTCTACCTAAATGACCAACCCATTACCTTCAACTCTTCAGTTAAAAATTTAGGTATTTTTATAGATCAAACCCTCTCCTGGAATCATCATATTTCCCAAATATCCCGACGTTCAATTTCCACCCTGAAACTCTTCCATCGCTTCCTCCCTCATCTTCCTCCACCTTGCCTACGGCTGCGTAGTGTACGGTGGCCTCTCATCGGAAATTGGAGACAGAGTGAAAAGAATCATGAATGGCTTAGTAAGATTTGTCAATGGAACCCCGAGCCGTTCTCATGTTTCCCACTACTATGCCGAGTTAGGGTGGCTCTTTCCCTCCTTCAGAAGACAATATTTCCTAGGTACATTTCTTTACCAAATAATCTATAATTATCGTCCGTCCTACGCATTCAATCTCCTTCAATCAAGTCATTTATCCACTCCCACTCCACAAGATCTCGTCCTTCTGATCTTTATACCCTTTTCCACAAATCTGTCTCATTTCAACACTCCTTTATTGTCCGCTCCACCACCTTTTGGAATTCCATCTCACTTAAAATCCGCCATGCACCATCTCTATCCATCTTTAAAACCCTGTTATTCCAATTCCTCCTTACAATTCAATCAGACGCTGGGTAGCCATTTATCATATAAAAAAATTGAATTTTTCTCTATGTATCATTTGTATATAATTATATATTCTTTTTTGAGTATGGAAAAGATGTCCAGTCACGTTCGCTAAGAATTGTTTTTTTGGTTAGTTTTTCAATGTATAAGATTCTAAGTCGTTGAGCAGTATTTAATTGATTACTAATATTGAATGCACTCATCTATACATGTATCATCTTTTGTTTTCTCCGATCAATCTATAGCTTAGGATAGAGATTATATAACACTTTCATAATGTTTACAATACTATTATTGTATTCATTTGAACAATCATCATTGTATCATTGTAAATCATTTATAGTAAATATTTATCTGCTCTTTTGTTATTATTTTTTTCATTGATTCAATGGTATGACAACACAAGTAATTTATCGTTCCTTTCAAATTTCATTTAGTATTTCATAGTTAATTGTTTGTAGCAACTATTTTGCAGTAGTGTGACCATATTGCTCATATTATTTCTTTAATATATCGGTATAGTTATATAAATAATTCTGTTACTACTTAGTTTTTGTTATTTTTTTATTGTAATATGTATTTTTTCCAGATGGTATGTTAATTTCAATGTACAAAATTGTTACAAGGACTTTGTCCCAGAATAAAGTTGGTTCTTCTATTCTATTCTATATATATATATATATATATATATATATATATATATATATATATATATATATATATATATATATAACCGAAATTAATTTACTAGTTAACAGTAAATACAATACCTAGAATCAACATCTTCTCCAATCCTTTGAGAACCAAGTTTCCATGAAATTTTGATAGGATTATCACCTAGAGCTGTACATTTCAAATGTGCTTGTCCATCTTTTTCAACATACACTTGCTTGGATTTCTGTTGAAAGTAAGCTGGTGCTAATAAAAAAAACAAAAACAAAACATAAATAAATATATATACAATATTTATATAAGTAACTTACATTTTATGACCAATAGAATAAATAATAAGTCATGGCAATAATAAAAACACAGTCAATTTAGTTTTTTTTTTTTAATTGTTCAAACTATAAATAAAAATCAAGCGTCGTTTGTAAATAAGCAATAAACAATCGTTTGTAAACGGCCAACAATAACAAAAAACGACCGATAAAAAACATCTGGATAATACATTTCTCTTTCTAAAACACTGATTAATTTTTAAAGTATTTGAAGCGGTTACATACAAAAAACACTTAATCGGCAGAGAAAGCGGCTCTGGCATAGGCGCCTACAGTCCATTGCCATATCATTCAGTACTCATAAATGGTATATTTATAGTGTTATAATAACTTTATAAGTAAATCATTTTAAATGTATTAACGAACAATTAATACAATAATATAATTGTCAAAAACATTTTTTTTAGAAAATTCATCTTTCTTCAGATGGTAACAATCCCTAAGAACACAAAAATATGTAATTTGGGTAATATTAATTATTAAAAATGTTTTAGGATAAACTTCCTTAATAAATAACAAGAAAAACAGTAATTATTTATGACATATTTAATATATTTGTTATCATTGGTGTATGTAAGCAAAATATATTATATTGCTGTAATCTATAGATTCAAATATCAAATAATAGCAACGCTAGCATTTATGAAATTCCCACATATATATGGAGTTATAATTTTATTGGAGCCTGTATGTTATTTAGCACGTGTATAGAAACCTTTCTATCTTTCGGCCAAGCACGGGTGCGCTCGGGTTTATTCGGTTCTCTATTACGATCTCTCGTTTCTTACTATTATAATTATTTATTCCTTTAGTTAATTATAAAATTCTTTCATATCTTATATTTAACTATTTTTCATAATTTGTTATAATTTTAAATGGTTATTTACTTCAAATAAAAAAATTAAAAGTATATTGAAGGAAGAAATTTTTAAAATTACTCATTTAAGCATTGTTAGAGAACATGAATGGGAATAAAACTTACATTATCCCCATCTCCATCCCCACATATATTATTATAGTAAGGCTCGAAATCAGTTTTGTACCAAATATAAGCTCCTGTCATGCTCAAATACCATAAATGGGGCACCGTTGGATTCAGAATTTCACGGGGGGTTAGCGAATCGTATTATTCACTTTTGTTTTTCTTTCTAAAATAAATAAAGTCGATACAAACATTTTGCTAGGCTTCAATACTGGAACGGTGGTAGGTCTGTAGATCGATACGGGACAAATTGGATCTTAAAGATTTTGATGCGTACAGCAAGACCCGGATAGTTCCACTGTAACTATCGGATCCTGCGTTTTTAAGCCCAAAAACGTATTATTTTCGAGATAACGCAAGGCATAGGGTTCGGATCCACACAGCCTTACATTAATTGTGGAACTGTCATTGAATACATGTATCATTTCGTCGACTTGAGATCTCTATGATCGAGAGAGGAGGAGTTTATATTATTTATCGATGGTGTTTTTTATCGGCAAGCCATATCATCGTTAATTTTTCACCAAATCTCAAAATTGATCCACCAATTTCGAAGGTTTCGTTCTCCTCCAGGCGGGCAAAATGGTCCAATCAACCCGAAAATTCACACTTTTACCTTGGTTATGCCCATGATCATATAAAAGATTACTCAATCAACTACAAAAGGAAAAACAAAACATCGAAATCGGACTATTTTTAACAAAGATGCAGCTTACTGAAAATTGTGAACATGTTGGTTCCAAACAAAAATGAAGATTTAAATTAATTTTTGTTTTCTTTGTCGATTATATTTATCGATAAAGTAACATTTGATTTCTTCATCTTTTGATATCTTGCATTATTTTATTTTCTTATTAATTTGGCATATATAAATATGCTGTGCGAATTTTTCGCACGGGCCTACTAGTATTAAAAATTAGCTTACTTAAAGCTTACTTTTACGCTTATATAATGAATTTAATCAACATCGTTAGAGCCATTTTCAAGAAAATCGTGAAAATGTGTTCAATCGATGATATAAAGTGCCACTTCCGGTTAGCTGATTTTGACGAAAAAGTTGCTGTAACATTCCAGGCATATATAATCCTTAAATATGCAATTTCACTTTCTTATGTCTTTTTTTGAGCTGGGCTGTTAAGAAAACACACACACACACACACAGAAGATTTTGTGGGACTTAGTTATTTGGACTCAGAGGACCTCCTATATTTCCATTGAAAACGACGATACAAAAAATGTCACGATTCCAATACCTTTCTTTACTAAACTATTAGCTTTCATTTTGTTATTATTGTTGGCGTAGGTTCCTTTGCAATTATCTTTTTCATCTTCGTCGATTAGGTCACAGGAATCAAGAAATAGAAAGGGCTAATGGATTGAAGTGATTTTGAGTTGAAGAATGAAATAAAGTATATTTGTCGTAGATGCAGGATTGTATTGTTGGGATGTTTAAGTCGTCATGTATAGTGTTGTTTGAAATGTACCAAGGTGTGTGTACAATTTTTCTTAGATTTTTTTTATTTTGTTGTTTGTATTTTATTTATGTGTGTCTGTTTTGGAGCACCCAAAAGTCCTGCTTCATATGTCGAAATTGGTTTCATTATGGTACACAATCCCAGATTTATATTTAAATTGGAAGGGGACGACGACGATGGGATAAAAAACAGAAATGGCGGGTGTTTTTATTATGAATACAAATTCAACATTATTATAGTGAAACGAACAAATATGATATTGAATATTTAAAATTAATTTGTTTATATGTTTGTGGGAGTGGGGTAGCTCAGTGGATGAGCACTGACTTCCAGAGCTTAAGGTCTCAGATTCGAATCCGGCTGATGACTGATGATGACTGGTAATTTTTCATTAGTCGTGAAGCGAACCTGGTGTCGGGAGACCCTCCTGGGTCACACCCATCCTCTATAAAGTAGGTACTCTTAATTAAGAAATTAATTAAGAAGGAAAACCTGATGGTTGAGCTTGAAGTATCCTGGTTTCTCATAAATAGGGAGCGATAGCTAAAACATTAATAATATAATAAAGAAGTCAGTATCAATAGATTTGTACGATTTATCTTCAGGATAACAAGAGACGCCTCGGTTTCCCGTTTTTATGCAGAGTTGAAGTGGCTTAATCATTACTACCGTCGTAAATATTTCCTGGTATCCTTCCTCTTTCAAGTCATCCAATCCCACCGACCTTCATACATCTCCGAGCTCCTCCAATTGAAATCCTCTGTTCGTTCCCGCAATACTCGTTCCCGGTCTTCTGATTTATACATAAGAGCCCACCGAACCGCTGCTTTCTACAGATAGTTCATTATCTGATCCTCATCCCTATGGAACTCCATCTCTTCCCACATCCGTTAATCCAATACCCTTCCTAGCTTTAAATCCCACTTGTTCAATCGTTTCTTATTCATCCAGTCCCTATAAAATTGTAAATAGACACCACTGTAAATATGTATATAAATTATTAGATCGTTTTTCATTACTTTTACTTCATGTTTATTTACAATTTTTTTATGTTAACTAATTTAAGTTTAATTATTTTTTTATTATGACTATTTAATTACACTTTATTTTTGTTTATGTATCTCTGGGTGTCCTTAGCCCATATTTCTGCACTTCTGTATTATTCTAAAGGGACTCGTCCCAGAATAAATAAAGTATTATAATTAATTAACAATTGCTTCACTGTAAACTAGACAAAATTTGCTAAAGTAGAGTTTGTTATTGTTAAAATCACTTCAAGAGGGCTTTTGAGCGAATAAACTAAGCTATGTTGTGATATAAAAAAAAAATCATGAATTATTCGCGATTTTTATTTATCACCACCCAACAATACTACAGCCACCCCTCTTTTAGAAAAACTTTCTTTTTTAATAAGCTTTAAGTTTGTATTAATTACGTTATGGGTTTATTACGAAATAAGTTGTAATCAACTAATGTAAAAAAAATAGGTGTTTTGATATCATGTCATCTTAAAGTACACACGTCTTGAACAAAAATGACGACAATAAATTATTGCAAAGCTTAAATTTATTTTTTCCCATTACCTGGAATGTATTATCATAATCATAATTTATTAAATACAGTTTTATTTAGTACAATAAAATTGGTTTTAACAATGACAATCTCCACATTCCGTTTAAGTAAATTTTGTCTTGTTTACAGTGAACCAATTTTTAATTAATTGTATTAAAATGTGTTTTAGCTGAAATTTCTGTTTACAATAAAAATTATAGATATCCCCAAATATTAAAAAAAAAAGTTAAAAGACAAAGGAAATGTTTGCATAACAAATTATCCGTCCTTCTTTTTCACCGTATAATATTTCAATTTTGGGTAGTCCCTAAAAAATTAGATCAATGCGGAGCTCAAAAATGGAGAATCATTATTAACTATAGAAATTAAACGAAAAAAAACATTGATGACAAATATCTGATCCCACATATTACCGACTTTTTAGACAAAAGTATCTTTTATGATACTCAAGAGAAAACACACTTTAGAAAATATCTTTAGAGAATTTTTTTTTTTAAACATTTTATTATATCATTATTAAAAATGGTTTTATTTTTACAAGAAAAATATATTTTTAAAGAATTATCTGTATAATATTTTAGGAATTATTTGCATCTCAGTTTACAGCTTTAAGCCCTCTCACCACGTCTAGGTGAAGATGCATCGTGAAGGTCCACGGATTTACGGTTTTAAATTCTCGCCAATGACCATACACACATTTGGTTTACGAGTATATCAATACCACGGCAGTGACCAAAATTCAAAAAAAAAATCTACTAGAAAATAAAAAACTTCTTAATACAATTTACAGAGAATACATAGCGAATTCAAACTTCTGCGTGTTTGGTACTTTGGATAAATCTCCAACTGTGACCCAGTCTGTTAGGTGGGCCACAACTGAAGTGAGGA